GCTTTCAGCTAAGTTTTTTCTCCAACAAAGTCCTCCCCTCCATGATTTGGGCTCAGAACGCCTGATCTCAAATCTTTTCCACCTCTGAATAATGTGGAGTATGTAGTGATCAAGAGAGCATTTTATTTCTATTCTTTATTTTTTTAAATTTTTATTTATTTATTTATTTATTTATTTATTTTGTAAAATAAGGTCTAGGCCCAACATGGGGATCAAACTCAGGACCGTGAGGTGAAGAGTTGTATTCTCTACTGACTGAGCTAGCCTGGTGCTCAACAGGCATTTTCTATTTAAAGGGTCATCTCTCACCTAGTTAACTGAAGTGTAAACTTCTGTGTCATCTTAACTCCTCCTTCACCCCACCTGGAGTTAATCTTCAACTCCTGTCTAACAAAACCCGCTGAAGTAGGTCTCTGCCCTCATTTCCATTCCTAGGACTATACGGCGTCTCTGCTGTGTCTCGAGACATAATGGCAAGTTGAGAGAGTGGCGCCAGTGTCAACATTTAGAGTAAGTTATAAACTACGTGGGCCACATTTTAATGTAGTTATGTCCTAAACACTGCAGGCAGTCTCTTGCAGACGTGCCTTTGAATGCACTGCTTCCTCTTTCTGGAGTGTCCTCCTTTGTTCCCACCACATAGTTTCAGACCTAGGTTACATGTCACTGACTCATGTTAGAAACCTCCAGGCAGATTTAGGCATCTTCTGGGTTGTCCTCTTATAGTACTTTTCACTTTCTTCTGTTAGAGTACCACCCTTATTTCCTTCCTTCCTTCCTTCCCTGCTTCCCTCCTTCCTAATTGGACAGACCCTATGGGTTGTAAGCCGCTAAAAGGTACAGCTCACAACATTAATTTTTATATCCCCAGGACATAGCCTTCTACCTGATCTACAGCAGTTGTTCAGTAAATATATGCTTGAAAGTCTGTATATGAGAATGAAAGCCTAGAAATGCTCCTGATTGTTGCCATTGGAGCATAATTTCTTTGTGTCCTTTCTCCAACAGCATACAGAGAGAATTTGGTTTAACTTTCAAAAGTATACTCTAACAAGATAAAAGAATATCTCTCTTTTGCCCTTTCAGGCTGACCTTTTGAACCCAAAGCCAATTTACTCGAATTAAGGGAGTTGATGTGATTAGTGTTAGGAAAGATTTTACGTAATGGGATTTGGTTTACTTCAAACAAATTTGGATGAATATGAGTCTCATGCAATATTTTAACATTTTAATTTATTGCTGACTCTACAGGGCAAAGGGGATCATAACCCTTAGTCCAATTTCAGGATGATGAATTGAGGCTTTTTTCAACAGCAGAGGATAAAAGATGACGTGCTTCAATTAGAGTACTGCAAATTGCATTTATATTTAGAGTTAAGTAAATTCAATGCCATAATAGTTGATATTTTGCTAAAATAGGATGTTGGTGTCATTATAGTGATATTTGCTAAAACATAAATTAGGAATTAATTATTAAATTAAAATAAATTATTAAATGTAAATCTACTCTGCATTCTGAATCATGTGATATGGAGCAGATGCCAAAAATGGTGCTCATCCTGGCAATGATATGCTTAATGTAAAATTAGAGTGTTAAGGAAAAGGAAAATCACTGGGCAGTACATATCTCCTGAAGAAAAGAAAAGAGAATCATTGCTAAATAATCCAAGAAGGTGTCAGGAACATTGGTCTAAATATCTGTCTGGGAATTCTAGATGGGAGGATATGTGAGCAAAGCCTCTCGTATCTGATGGATAGCAGTTGCTCAGTAAATACATGCTTGAAGATCTGTATATGAGATCAAAGGCTTAAAATCTCAGTGCTCTTTACCTTACCCCTGGTGGACTGATGTACAGAGAAGTATGGTTTCAGATTGGATAGTCAGTATGAGGACCTTTATAGAACTCTTCGAGGCATTCCTCTGTGAAACGTCATGCAGAGACATCATGGATCCTTAGGCTGGAAGAGGACATGTTGAAAATAGAAATTTTCAACATATTATTTTGGCAGTTGTGAGATTTCTTGGGTTGGGCACGTACTGGAGGCAGGATGATGAATTGGGACAATATTACTTTGGTTGTTTGTAGCAATTATAGTGTTTATGTTGTTGGTCTACTTGCAGTGCTCTACTTTGTGAACACTTAATCTTTTTCTTCCCTCTAGTGTAGTGTAAGTCTAGTTTAGGAGTTATTTAGAGCCCTTATTTAACTATGTCAGACATAGTTTTAATAGCATGAAGTAGTGAGAAGAACAAAGGACCAGTGGTTCTGGTCTCATTTAGGCCACAACTAGCTACAGGCCTATGAGCAGGTCACTTGATGTCCCCAATTTGGAAATAAGAGTGTTGACCTGGATGAACTAAGACCTTTTCAGTTGAGCTTTCTGCAGACCAAAGAGTTAGTGAAAGCTTCCAAAATACTCCTCTTAGCACTGAGCAATGAAAGTACTAAGCACATATTTTAATGCATACTAGGAAAAATACATCTTCCACTCCTAAACTTTGGTAGAATATTCTACCTTACCATAAGATAGACAGTAGGTTCATAATGATTACAATATATAGGCATTACCTTTTCTAAGAAGGTGTTAAAATATAGAAGAAAGTAGAAAATTAACCCTTGTACATGAACACAGTGTGCTTATTGTATAATTTTCATGTTTTAAATAAAGCTACTTATTTGCATAATGATGCTTTGGAAAGATATATCTTAAAATAACAATGCTATTCATTGATTTGAAATTAAAACAAAAATAATGTGTAAATTAATCTGGAAAAATTGTCATGTTACTCTATAATTAGTTGTATTAGTAAATGAGTGCTATCACTTATTAAGATACATTTGGCATAGAATAATATTTCAAAGTAGTGAATCTGTATTTTCTATTTCTGTTTTGAAAATGTTTATTGTCATCAGTTTGTTAACCTCTATAATACGTATACAGTTTGTATTATGGATGCTTAAAAATAAGTAGCTCTCTGATTTTGCTTCTTTGAATTGAAGTTTAAGTTTGATCCTTATAGGAAATGATATGTCAGAAACATTGTGTGCAGTGTATCAGAACACCCAGAAAAACGCTGCAGATAAGGATTTCTAATGTCATAAAACTAAACAAATTATTACAGTGTCTAGACAGAGTCCAAAGACATGGTGAATTTTTTTTTTTTGATAAATTGATTTTATAGATCAAACAAAACATTTGATTTTTTTTAACATAATTTAATGTTCAAACCAATGGAATGATGCATGCATGAAATTTAGTTACTTGACAATATTAAAAGGAAAATGATATTTTATTCCTTGGAGTACTTTCCTTGAGTCAAGAAATACTTATAAGACTTAGAAAATTATTTTTGATCATCTGGCCTAAGTAGCACAGGCATCGTTATCATCTGGATGCTCGGCAGAAATGCAGATTCTTGAGTTTTCTGCATCCATAACAGATCTCTGGCCATACCTCTGAAATCTGGATTTTAAACAGGTTTCTGGGGAATTGTTTTTGTGCATAGTGAATGTAAGAATTACTTTTCTAAATCTTCTTATCTTCCTGCTGGAAATCTTTACATGTCATTTGATGCTGGGTATTGGATCCTGAATTTGAAAGTTGAAGAACAGGACTCTGCTTGGGAATCCAGAAAGAACTTGAAATACCCAATGATTTTATTATCTATAAATAGACTTTTCTATCAGTTTCTGTTTGAAATTGAGAATGATAATAAAATATGTTTTTCGATTGTTAATGCTATATACATTAGTTTATATAAAACAAAGTATTAGATATTGGAAACTTTTTCTTTTGTATTACTTTCAGAACACAGATTTTCCCAGAAGAAACTTTCCCATAAGTTGGACTTATATTCATTTTATTTCCTCCATAGAATCACCAAGTTCAACCAAATTCTACGATATTCATGATCTTTTTAATGTTACATAAAGAATTCCAAGTATGCTTTCATTAATTTTTAAGCAACCATAGCATCTACTGACAATACTGATGTTTAGGTTAAGATTGCTACAGGAAATTCTTGAGATTACTATCCTTTACCTGTAGATGTAGCCTTTCCACTTGCCTTTAATTAAAATAACACTTTCTCCTCCATTCCCAAATGTGTTTATTACAAATAAAAATCCTGAATTCACAAATGAGAATGATCTCCAATTTGAAGCTAGTAACTGACATTTATCTCTTTGGTGACAGGAAACATACTTTATTATCTAAGTGTTTCTTATGACTGGAAGAGTTTTTGCATATAGTGGATTTCCAGTGATAAGTAAGTCAATTAATGGTAGTCAAGTTTTATTGGCCTGTGTGGTATTGAAAGAGGAGAAAATTATACTTAGGAATTTGGATAGCTTCATGAGAACTACGTCTCTCTTGAATCAGAATTTTATACTTGGACATCAATGATTTATTGCCTTCTTCAATGGCTTAATTTAACGATCAACTTTTGCTCATATCAACACAAGAGTCTATAAATATTGAAAGCTAAGTTGATGTTCAATTCCTGACAACAAAATCTTCTCATTCATTAGCACTCTATTTGCACCAGAAGGCTTATAAAATTAGTAGAAAAATGCCAGTGTTATTCATTTAAATTTCCTTCTTTATATTGGTCTCTGGAGGTTGCACTACTTAGATTTTGGGCAGCATCCTTTACTATATTAAATTTGGGGTTTCAGAAAAGGAAGGACCTCTCCCATTTTAGCAGTCAGATCTCATCATGCAGTCTTGTAATGATGATGAGTTCCTAAGTCATGAGTTTTCTCCCACCATCATGTTCCCCTTTGCCATTTTCAGAATGTATTGGTGACTGTTAGAAAAGTTTAAAGCTTCCTGTCCAGCAATATCTTTAATCCCTTGGGGTTGCTCAAAGTGTTAAGACTGATGGATCTGACTGTGGTAAAGTCTAATAAGAATTGCGCTGACAACCAAGATGATTCATGGGAGGACAGTTTACTTACTTTTTTTTATATGTCTTGTCTCTCTTCTTGACTCGACAGCTCCCCCAACGGTTCGTATTGTGCATTCAGGCTTGGCCTGTAACATTGAGGAGGAGCGCTACTCCGAAAGGGTCTATACTATACGGGAAGGAGAAACCCTAGAACTGACCTGTCTGGTCACAGGACATCCACGTCCACAGGTGAGTCCCGAACCGTGACAGTGAGGGAAACTCTCATTGACCTTTCTTGCAAGTCAAAAATGTACATATTTCAGGAGATCTAGCTAAAAAAATTGTGTGTGTGTGTGTGAGAGAGAGAGACATTGAAGTCACTGCGTGTCTGCAGTGCAGGATAAGGGTGGTGATTGCTGAACATTCACGCTTGAAGTACTCACTTGGATAAGATGAAGAAAGAATTTTTTTGTTTTGGTATTGTGAGAAATTTGGAAGACACTTCTAAGGAAGCTGTTAAAAAGACAACTACAAAAATATCTCAGTAAGATAACAATTCATATGGCAATGAGTTTATTTTAGAATGTGGAGCATGATTTCATGATGACATAATTGCAGCTGAGGAAGCATTTGTTCTGAAGAATGTGGTGCACGAGGTCACATGCACTTTCCTTACTCCTCATCATTATGTTCATAGAAAACTTTGAAAAACAAATGTTTGCAGGTGTATGCATTCAGGCTTTCAGAGTCATCTGCTACAGCTTTCATAAGCTACTTTAATAGCAGGAACAGAAATTGAGACTTTCAAAGGGCACTAAAATTATAAATAATGAGCAAAGCAAAAGTTTGTAGGTATGAAAGAAAAGGTTAGGCAGAAGGTAATATAGTTAGGCTGTGTATTCATGATGTAAAAATTTAATTCAGATTCAATACAGAATATTCAGGATGTTTTAGTCAGAATTTGCCGATTCTTATTGTCATATATTTAACCTGCCTGGTTCAAAATCTTCACTGGCAATCAATACGGACACTATGATGGAAAAGAGATCTCATTTGGTGGCAAAGTTGCATATTTTAAATATTAGTGTTATAGGAAAAAAAATCCATCTAACACCACTACAGAGGAGAAAGTAAGGGGCAGTGTAGAGATTTTATGAACTCATCATTTTAACCTTCTCTTTTGCTCCTACCGACCATAACTCTTAATACGCAAAGATGTTTGACCTTATCATTGTGACCTGAAGAACAAATAAAAATAAGCAAATGAACTTCATAGAATGAAGTAATAGATGGATAAATAAGACCATGACTAAAACTAAAATGGTAAAATATAAAACTTAATGCTACTCTGTTGGTAAAATGAAAGACAGTAAAAAGTAATCTAGAAAATATTATTAAACCTAATTGTTATTAAATTTTAAAAATAATATTAAAATTAAAATTCACGATGGCTAAAATGATAAATTATAATACTTGCTTTTATCTGAAAATTGATTAAAGAATGAAATTATATTAATAAATTTGAGTTCTATACAATTTGACCTATTACGATTAGACTTCATGGATAACAATGATTGCAAAACTATACATACAAGGACAAAAATGATAGTTATTATAATTGGATATAGAAAAACTTATATGTCAGACCTTTCTATTTTATTTTTTTTTTAATTTTTTTTTCAACGTTTTTTATTTATTTTTGGGACAGAGAGAGACAGAGCATGAACGGGCGAGGGGCAGAGAGAGAGGGAGACACAGAATCGGAAACAGGCTCCAGGCTCTGAGCCATCAGCCCAGAGCCAGGCGCCCACTGCGCCACCCAGGCGCCCCAGACCTTTCTATTTTAAAATTCATATAGATTGGGGCGCCTGGGTGGCGCAGTGGGTTAAGCGTCCGACTTCAGCCAGGTCACGATCTCGCGGTCCGTGAGTTCGAGCCCCGCGTCGGGCTCTGGGCTGATGGCTCAGAGCCTGGAGCCTGTTTCCGATTCTGTGTCTCCCTCTCTCTCTGCCCCTCGCCCGTTCATGCTCTGTCTCTCTCTGTCCCAAAAATAAACGTTGAAAAAAAATTAAAAAAAAATAAAAATAAAATTCATATAGAAACAATGGACTTCAATAAAATAATTTTGCTAAAATTTAAAAAATGATGACATTAACTCAAGAATATTATCTCACAGAAAATTTAGTGCTGTTATAATTTGATTATAATTTTTGTATTTGTATACATAGAATAACAATTCCAAAATCAAAAAGTTGGGATCAAAATATGAATGTCCAAATCTAAAAGAAGCCACAAATTGCCAAATGAGAGGCAGTTTGTGGCAAGAGAAGACTCTTTAATTCTTCCATCATTCCCACACTGAACCCACCAAATTCAGCACCTTCTAAACTACAAATTACACTTAAAAATGCAACTTTCTATCTTTTTAAAAAGTCATCCCTGCTGTCTGCTCCCTCATCTCCATCCTTAGGTTCCCTTAGTATTAGGAATTTCTTATTTTCTTCATACATTTTGTCTGCAATGATTCACAATCTGGAGTATAATCTCTGATGTCTGGACAATCCAAAATAATTCTGTAACAAAGAAGTAGATTATTGCCTTATGTGGTTTTTTTTTTTTTTCCCTAAGCAGTTCCATTGCTGGAACCATTTCAGTGTTTGCTGACCCTAGGAAAAAGTTGTCTCAGTATTGTTATTTCTTCATTCCTAGAAGTAATTTAGGCATTCACAGGTGACACAGTTTCAGTTTATATCACCGGCTTGAAAAATTAACCAGGCCTCTTTTTTGTCAACAAACTGTATAAGGAAAGCTGACAGAACAGCTGGGCATCGACATCCTGGCCAAACGCTAAAGGGCATGCTGATAGCAGCTGGTCCTGAGGATGGTTTTTCTTGGCTGAGGCCATGAAGCTGGAACGACCTCCTGGCTGTCTTGGCTCATCTGAATGTGATAGGTTGGGAATGCACTGGAAGAGTGAGGTACTCCACTCTTCAGGAGATTCCTTAATCTGTTGTCTATTCCTGTTGGCAGTGAGAGTCATAAAAGTCCCCATTTCCAGAAGTGTTCAAAGGCAGCATTTTTTTTTCTAGATTAAAAAAAATTCTCTTCAAAAATATATCATCTGGCAATATGTAATGGCCTGCAGATATTATTGTATGCAAGGGAAATAAACGAAGGAGAGGAAGGTACAGTGGTAGGTACAGAGGAAGGTACTAGTACTTAATAGTATGGCACTGGGACCAGACTACCTGGGTATGACCCTGGATCCACTGTGACTGCCCGCGTGAGTGTGGGAAAGTTCCTTGACCTCTCTTTTCTCTATGCCTCAGGTGTCTTATCTGTATACAAAGATTGATGGCAAACATCATACCTATATCATAGAATCCTTTTGAGAGTTAAATGGGTATTGTAAATATATATGTACATATATATATATGCACATACACATACACATATATATGTAGTTGGTATGTAAATAAGCATTATATTGATATGTAATAAAATATATGCTGGGTTTTTATTCATTGTTTTAAAGCAATTTATGATTAGACTTTAAAGTCTAGAGTTGAATATGTAAGTATGAAAATAAGTAGATTTATAAAGTGGTTCTTAGCATTCCTGTGGCCTACTTTAAATTAGACCCATTTAAATAAATTTCAATATTTTTTGTGTTTTAATACTCCACAGAGCTTTTACATTTCTGTTAATTACCTTTGCTTAGCTTGCAAGGACTAGGACTATGTTCAGACTACTTCATTTAATGAAGGTTTATTATAACATATATGAAGAGGTAAGAAAGCAGGGGGAGGCAACAATTTGTTAGTAAATCTCTAAACCTAATATTACCTCTACATGTCCATAATTTCAAGATTCAGCTACCCACTCTCTTTCTCTTTCTTCTTTTCTTTTTTCCTCCATCACTCCATTTCTCTTTTCTTTTCTTCCTTCTTTCCTTCCTCTCTTCTCTCTCAATATTATCACATCAATAACAAATGAATTCTTAATATAGCTCTCTTATAAGTAATTTAAACAATGAGATATTTAACAAAATGTTCCCTGTCACTGTCCCACTCACCTCTCAGAGGTTTATGTTAAATGGTTTGATATATCATTTTGCAGTCCTTGTTAGGCACATTCCCATAAATATGATTGTATATGTTAATGTTTTAGGTTCATTTTTTAAATTAGATAATGAAAAGTATTATTCGGTGGCTAGAATTTTTCACTTGTCCATGTATCCAAATCACCAACTATAGATCCAGCTTAGTGGTTCTCAAGGTGTGGTCCCTGAAGAGAATGTGTTAGAAAGGAAAGTTCTTGTGCCCATCACATCAGAAAATCCTGTGTTGGGGCCAGTGATCTGTCTTGTCACCAGTACTCTGGGTAATCCTGATGTACCCTGAAATTTGAGAACCACTGACTTAGATCACTATTTTCACAGAGGCTGAATTATACTTTGTATGGATGCACTAAATTCTACTGTATAGATGCACTAGATACATGGAATTGCCACTATTTTGTTTAAAATTGAATTACTTAGAGATTTTTACTATTACAAATAATAACTTAGTGAGCATTTCTGGTATGTGTTTGTGTTTATGCACGTCTTGATTACATGTCTGCCAGTGTCATTGTAGGATAGTTTCCTTCTCCAAAATGGCATTTATCCAAAGTTGAAAGTGACTTTACCTTAATTCCTTAGCACAAGTGAATCTTTAAAATTTTTGCTAATTTGATGTGAGGAAGTGAATTATACTACAGTGAAGTTTCAATTTGCATTTTCGTAATTACCAGTCAAATTGAACATTTTCCCACCCATGTATCAATGATTTGTTCATCTCCTTTGTCTGTTGATTGTTTTTATCTACCTTCTTTATTTTCTTATGGGTTAGTTGCTTGTCTTCCTACAGACCCGTAGGGACTTTTTACGTCCTATAAAAATAAATTCAGTATCTGAAAATTATGTTGCAAATTTTATCTACCAGGATGTGTCTTTTAATATTGCTTATGTGACTTTTACTTGGATAATTTTGTTTTTAAAAGATGAATCATTTTAATCTTTTCAATTTTGGCTTCTGAATTTTATACCTACTTTCATAAGATCCCTTTCATGTCCATGTATCTTACATTGTATGCTTCTTTTCTAACAGCTTATATAGTTGGTAATGTATTTAATGATTTAATCATTAGGGAATGTGTTGTCCATGGTACAAAGTATTAGTCTAGTGTTTTCTCTTTTTTTTCTTCTT